CACCTGTGCCGTCACTGATCTCAGCGACGTCACGGCATTAACCATTCACCGAAATGCGATCAAACCAGTCAACCAATCCGTCATGGGAATGACGGATCGGTTGCCTGGTTTAATTACGTTTCTCGATCTCAGTGACGTAACAAGGAAACTGAACTGAGAGACGGATATTCTCGTGGGTCAACCTTACATAGTTCAATCATGGTTCAACCTTATATAGTTCAACCATGGTTCAACCTTATATAGTTCAACCATGGGTGTGGGTGCGAACCGCAACGAAGCGCGGGATATACGCGGACGGGGCTGGATCAGAACATTACAGGGGAAGGCAGTGTTGATGGATCTCGTGGGTGTGGGGGAAGGCGGTGTTGGTGGATCTCGTGGGTGTGGGGGAAGGCAGTGTTAGTGGATCTCGTGGGTGCGGGGGAAGGCAGTGTTGGTGGATCTCGTGGGTGTGGGGGAAGGCGGTGTTGGTGGATCTCGTGGATGCGGGGAAGGCAGTGTTAGTGGATCTCGCGGGTGTGGGGGAAGGCAGTGTTGGTGGATCTCGTGGGTGCGGAGGAAGGCAACTTTTATTCTCTGTTTACATAATCACAAGTTACCCTTACTAAATCATAGGTTAAGTCTCGACGAAAATCTGTTTACGCCCATTGGTTAACCAGAAGCCCGCCGTGGTGGTCCGGACCAATCACGCTCGTGCTGGCACGACACTTAGTCTCTCTCCATGACACTTATTAAGTACATCTTATAAATTTATAAGATAATATCAAGTGACATAAGATTCCATATTTCGATCATGAAATATTAATGCATTATTTAGTCCGATTCTGTAACTATCGTATAATATAATGAAGAAAAGAACATTTTCCGAGTCCAGACGAAACAAGAATTCGCTGATGAAACAAACATTACGCTAAATGCTCACATTTATTCCGCCACACATGCTTGTCCGCCTGGAATGGCTTCTCTTGGGAACATACGCGTTGCATATTATCAAGCCTGCCTTGCAAAGTTGCTTTAGTCTTACTATGAAAAGAGGTGCCGAAGTTTAATTGGTTTCATTTTCCGTATTCCCTCTTCAAATATTTCCCTCCAATACCTTTCAGCAGCAAGTGATGAGCGTGGAGAGAGAATAGACTTAACATCAAATGGACGGACAACAACTACTCGTATTTGTACAAGTGAAACTCAGTCACGACTCAAAACAACTGCATGAAGGTCCTGCGTAACATTAAGGAGGCAAAAATCTGTAGTTTTAATGACATTGTTATCGTGTCATCCAGAAATATATATTCAATAGTGCTTTTCGCTGGCCGTAAGCGGCTTCAATCATTTTAATATGCATTTCTCTGCAATTCTGAAAAAGTTTTTCAAAAACCCTACACTGGAATAGAGGCAGAAAACTGTATGCATCTCAACCCAGTATATTGAGAAACGTTATCGTCTCGTTTGACTTTTCGTAGAATTTTCATTTAATTTCTCGACGGATATGACTTCGCCCTATTTTGATCCTTGAATCAAGCTCGTTGTATCTAACTGCTGAGAACCAGCTCCATAATTCGACTTAACCAGAGTTCAATGTTGCAGCTAAGAACAGATGCTACGAGTTCGACTAGTCTAATAATGTAGTGGAAATGATCCCAATTCATTGTTGCAGCTGAGAACCCATGCCCCGGAATAGACCTAACCATGACTGAAGTTCACATAATACCAATTGATTGTTGCAGCTGAGAACCAATGCCCCGGGTCGGACTTGATCGTCCACGACAATGTGCAGTGCACCCAAGAATCAGAGCACTGCAGCGTGTACACCGCATGTGAAACTTTAGCAAGTTTCCTGGGCTGCACGAGCGACTTCATGTGCGGCCAAGGCACCCCGAGGAGACGGGTGTGTGAACGCGACGCGGTCTTCGTGCCAAGCTTGAGCAGATGTGTGGCGGTGCCCATGCAGAGGCAGCTCGGCAGCCTTGACTTGGATGGACAACCAACAGGTGCGGAATATGTTGAATGATTTTATCATTTTGAGAAGTAATTCTGCTGCGTGATAAAAAATAATGATATCACTTAAAATGGGGCGAAAATCGGAAAAGTAAACGGCATATCCACTAGGTTACAACATTTCCATTTTAAAATAAGAGCCCTTTCTAAGCCTGCCCGAGTGAATAAACTGTACGTGACTTTATCTATTCACATGAGTCACCTCTCAGTTATAATTCATTTCATTGAAAAACTGTTTTTAAAATCTAAGTGGTCAATCCCAATATTGCCATGACGAAATAAAAACCAAGGTCAAAGCATCGTCTGAAATTAAAAAAAAAGCGATTTGATTTAAGGCACTAAATCCTATTATATTTACATTCCACAGGCGGACTTTACTCCCCTTGTGTCTTCCTCAACATTTCCTTCACTGAGAGCGTCCCTCCTTATCCAACCCCGGATGATGGGGCTACTCCTGTTGCTGGGACCTCACCCACTGTGCCTGGCACACCAACTGAACCTGACGCTATCCCCTCGATTGGAATACCACCCACTGGAGCTCTCCCTAACCTCCCAACGGGTTCTGGAGCCCCTCCTAACCTCCCACCGGGTGCTGATGTCCACGAATACATCGCGCAGTTCCAATGCCCCCACGCGGGGTTCGTGCCCAACGCGACTGGGCACAGAGACTTGCAGTGCTCCGACGAACTCACATGCGTTCAGATCGGCTCACAAAAAGTAAGAAATTAAAAAATGCATATACTTTCTTAGTTTAAAGGTGTAATAAATTACTTCTCTAGTTTTGAGAGGGAAAAAGGAAATTCTTATGTTAAAGTTTCTCATTATTCAAGTTCGAGGTGTGTGATGAAAAATTTTTAAAAGATGACTCAAGTTGGTAACATTTTTTTTCGCGTTTTTGGGAGTTTTTTTTTAATTGCGAAACCTTTAATTTGACGAATCGATTAAAATTTTTTCTATTTTACTAATTCGAATTTTTAGACATCATGTGGAGTGAAGAAAGAGTTAACATATACGGTATTCGCATCATTACGTCTTATAAGCCAATATTTAAACCTCATACAACTCAACTTATACCTAAATGATATAAAGTGATGAAAATAATGAAAATTATTTCGATGATGAGAGAGCGACAGAAATTGACGGAAATTTATATTTATTTATAATTACAAGTTTAATACTAATAATATACTGATCACTTAATTATCCGAGTATAACTAATTACGATATAAATATTTCAATTATTATTTTTATTTACAACGGGAATTTATAAACACGATTGTCTTGTGAAAACAGTTAATATATACGAATTTATTCGCCTGTCTACAGGAGTTCACAAGATACTGCCGAAAATTCTTCATTTGTGAGGTTTTCCCTCACATGGGAAATACGATCCACCTCACAATCAGGACATGTTCACCCACGATGTTCTACTCGTACGTCATTCAGGATTGTTATGAGGATGGTGAGCAATCTTGTCTAACACGAATGATAAATTTGGGCCTATTAATTTCACTCTTTAAGGATTTAATTTCTATACTCCTTTGCGGATAGAAAAGCTAAAGCACCAAAAATTAGGTGGAAACTTTGCCGCTATAGCCTTTGCTTTACAACTGTTAAATTATATTTTATGTCGATACCTATTCGAAGACGAGCTTGGGGTGAAAACGTATTCAAAATAACTACAATTACATTATAACATTGTTGCAATTTATCTAATTTGGAATTTATATCATTTCCAAATTTTCATTTTTTTCAGTTTCAGTGACACAGTGTCAAGACACTGTTAATGTTGCACCAGGACCCGATTCATCGCCAATAATTCCTCCTAATACTATTCCTGCAACCTCAATTGTTACAATAACTGAAGGAACCATTACTGAAGCCCCAACTACCACAACACAATCGTCCAACTCACAATCATTAGTGGTCACAATCGTGCTGCACGAGGCATGCACTCGTCATCTTCATGTCCCCCAAATGAGTCGAGACGCACTCCGTCGCAACTGCAGAAACACACCTATCTGTGTAGATGGAATATTCCAGGTATCGATGTTATCTGTGTTTAAACATGCTTATTACTACAAGACTGCGGTTTTCGATTTTAAATGAAATTGCGAAAATATTATAATTCAATAAGTCGAATCTTGCTCTTGATTATTTCATCTTCTTGTGATACTTGTTGGCGGTGTTGATTCCGAGGACTGAAAACCTGACATTGGAAAATACATCTCCTTTAATTTCTTGCTTACTGCATTTTCACGGAACTGAGATAATTTACACATTGCTCAAATGAATGAAGCAGTGATAACTTGAAAATATTTAAATGCCATTTTCTTTTTCCTTTTTAAGAAAATTGACACCCGTTGTGACCTATACTACGTTTGCAAACTCGATCCTAGCGACAATGTCTTACGGTCTGAAGAGACGCAGTGTCCTGAAGGGCAGTTCTTCTCTCCTACCACTTCCAGCTGCAGTGTTCCTACAGGACGTGAGTAATGGTTATAATGGTTATGATTGTTCTCGATTGACTTATTTCTGGTGGTTACGATGGCTAGAGTTCTCGCCAGACGTGTTTCTTATGGTTAGGATGGTTAAAGTTCTTACTGGACGTCTTTATAATGGTTACGATGGTTAGATTTCTTACCGGACGTCTTTATAATGGTTACGATGGTCAGAGTTCTTACCGGACGTCTTTATAATGGTTATGGTTACGATGGTTAGAGTTCTTACCGGACGTCTTTATAATGGTTACGATGGTTAGAGTTCTTACCAGATGTTTTTATAACGATTACGATGGTTAGAGTTCTTACCGGACATGTTTCTAATCGCTTATTTTTAGCAATTCTTTTTAATTAAGAGAAAAAGGGCGAATCAAACATACTATAAAACAGCCAAAATGAAAAAAAACTGATGTAATTCTTCTTTACTCGGTTGTATAAATATCGATGCGGGTATGTACTCGTGCTTGTCCTCATTCGTTAAATATACGTTTTTCCTCTTGGCAGAGGTATGTGGGGAAACGTTCGCTCGCTGGATAAGTCACAGGAATAGCCACGAGTTCCTGAGGAATGACCACGCCACCATCGAGCGCTTGTATCATGAGATCCTGCAAGACAACACAGCATCGTCGGGGCCTCAGCTGGCATCGTCAGGGCCTCAGCTGGCAACGTTGGGGCCTCAGCTGGCACCTTCGGGGCCGCAGCTGGCATCGTCGGGGCCTCAGCTGGCATCGCTGTATCAGCAAGGACAGCTTGTCCGGCAACCGCCATATATCGGAAGTCAAGGCACACGAACATCAACGAATCCTAATTTATTGCACGCTACCAACCCGTACCTAAAGCATCAGACAAATACTATGCCCCAGAATTCGATGAATTCTTATTTTCAGCCGCTAGTGATATCGGATTTTAAGCCGCATACGGCGCAAGGCTCCCAGCCACAATTAAATCAAGGATCCTTCATACAACTGAGTCCAGATTTCCAACAACAGGTTAGTAATAGTTTATTGCCAGGGACCAATCAATACCACCAGCAAGGATTAAATCCCTATAAGCTAAAGAATATAAATCCCTTAGCTCCTCAGCCCCTAAATTCTTTCATTGGTCAACATGAAGTTCGCTATTACCCACAGCAAGCTACAACATATGAGCAAAAGCAAACTGATTCTACCTTTCAACCAACAGTTTATCAAAATTCCCCTCAGCTGGTGAATAATAACAATAATCGTCAAGTCATTCCAAATTTACAGCAACAAGTTGAACCAAATATTCAGTATCAAATTACTACGAATTATCAGCAACAAGTGAACCCAAATTACAAAGAGCAAATGAACCCCAACACCCAGTTTCATGTGAACCCTAAGTTAAACCGCCATCAGAATCCCGAACAGCAGTTGAAACCGCATACTCAGACCCAATTCCAGGGTCAATGGACTAAGCCGGATATATTATCAACATTGAAATCTACAGCAAATGTGCCTTTGGAAATTGGCCTCCAACCACAATTTTACGATTCCAATTCAGTAGAACCGTCACGTCCTGTGCTCCAATTGCCAGGTTTCGAAGAGACTCTGATTCAGCAGGTCCAAGAAGCAGGTTATGGCTCTCCCGAGTTCAGACAGGCGCGTTCAAATTCACCAACGCTTTTTGACGCTCAAGTTTTGGGTGATCGAGGACATGTGCAAGAAGATATCCTTGCGGACCGAGGGTTTGTCAATCCCCAGCCCTTAGGATCTAGGGGAGCTGTGACCAGGTTGGTAAACGAAACTGAAATTGATTTAGAAAATCGGGAGGCGCGGAGTCGAAGGAATGACAATTTTCTTCTCAAAGATGCAGGTCATCAAACGATTACATATTCTGATGCTCCAGAATCCAATAGTCAAAATTTGTTTGGCTCTATAATCAATTCGGTGAATTTAGACGTACCGCAGAAGCAGAATAGTGATGTCACTCTCAGTCACCACAGTAACCCAGGTATCACAGATCACTACACTACGGCGTTTGCTGATGCTTCACAGTTAAATGCAGTTCCCGGCCAAGACAATCAGGTACAACAGTCATAATTTCAATAGATTCGAACGTCCTTAAGATTCCAATCTCTTTTTAGCTACCTGTAGGGTCCTCCTTTATTGGCAGACGAACGTCAGTTAGACCAGTTCTCTTATTTTTAAAATACCCGAACCCTTGTTCTTTCATGATATGTAATATTCCTTCTTCAATGACCCATGCACTTTATTCTTTAATCACCCATGAACTTATTCTTCAATGAACTCTCTTCGTTCTCCTATTCCTCAATGATCTAATGTCTTAATTCTTCAGTGAACTACAATCTTATTTTTTAATGACCTTCAATCTAATTCTTCAATGACCCATGATCTTCATTCTTCAATGATCTATGATTTTCACTTTTTAATGGCCCATCTTTATTTTCTAATAATCCGTACTATTTATTTTTTTTTAATTTTAGCCTCTTACCTGCATTGTGAGTAATTATTGATTTATTCTTCTAGTTAAGGAGAGAACAAAATTAAATTGAAAAATAAATAAATGCGCTCGATGATACGCCCCATCAAATCATGCATTGACTTATAATCAAATGTGATTTATTTACGAAAGTTTGTCTAAAAAATTTATGTACGTTAATCTTTTCCAAACGTTGGTTGTATTTAATATTTAATACAATGAATACATTGAATACAGTGATCGTCAAAGCTCTGACTGCAAATGTACTTGATTTTAGCGAATTTCTTATATGATTCAATTTTGTGAAAATCTTCTCTGAAGTTGACGAGTACTGCATATCTATGCATTATCTTCGTTTAATAGCTATATCAAAAAACATGCCAACAATAACAAATCTATTAATATTAAATAACAATATATAATTTCATTGTCTTTACTGGGATGTATCAGAAATATGGCCGTTCTTAAGATAAATATCAAAAATTTTGCTGTCAACCTTATACAGTTTTCATTGTCCTTCAACTAGTAATTAATGATTATTTTGGCATATTTTAGCAAGGGAAAATCGACGTACTTCAATGCTTAATCAATCTAATTACGAATATTATTGCATACTTCTGATGTCAGTCACGAACTGAGAATTTTTGCTATCCAGGCACTAGAATGATTATCATAACATTTTTTGGCAAGTTATGATTGTTAAATACTTGTGGTGTCACCCGTAAACTGAGAATTTCACTATCCCTGAGAATCACTTCACTGAGAATTTCACTATATATTATTTTTGCACGTTAGGGTTAATATTAAATACTCCTGATGTACCTGTAAACGAGGAATTTTCCCTAGCCTGGCGCTAGAATGATTATTATAAAGTATTTAGACACGTTACGATGGTTATATCGATTGCTTTTGATGTCATCCGTAAATAAACAGTTTCACGGTCCTGGAACATGAGGGTTTATCAAGCTTTCTTCAGGACGCACTATAAATTAACGCAATTCAATGAATTTTCTAACATATTTAGGTGCGTACCAATTAACGTACTTTATTTCCTTATTGTTTATTTTAGCGTTTAATTAAGTTGCTTCTAAGAAAGTAACACTCTAGCGCATTTGAAGATCTCGACTGTCAAAAGTGAAGCAGCGAATCCACTGCCAAGAATATATTGCAGGCACATTCCTCGAGGTATTGGATGCTTCGTCTTAGCGTCAAAGCTGAAGCTGGTTTTAGAATTAGCATTTGTTGAATAGTTCTGTCAGCTCACGCTTCTAATCTGGAGTTTCTAGCTGACATGCGTAGTTTGAGTTCGCATATAAGAAATAGCACTTAATAAACAGGGGGGAAATAATAAAATTCTTACCATTTTGAGAGTAAGTTCCGTTTACGGTCGGTCAATTTTTTATTGCCTATATAAACTAAAACAGGTAGATAAAAATGTATATTTATAATTATGAATATTATAGAAGAATTAAAATAGTCCTTGCTGATCGATAAATCCAAAAATACAGAGAAAAATGAACATTGGAATGTGATATCGTATGAATATCGCATTTTATATCGTCTAATATATATTGATATCGCATCTGGAGAAGAATAACATTCAGCTTCTATAGAAATATTTATTATAATGGTTTCAATCAAAATACAACGAAAGAGACATAATTGAGAGTTCTTGTTAAACAACTCTTTTGTTTAACGTTTTTTAATAATCATTCAAAATTAAATTAGTAGATGATCATTTTAGCGTTTTAGGAAATTTCTCGGTTAAAGAACTTAGAGATAATGATACTAGGAAAAATGAAATACCAAGTTTGGCGATAAAAGGTCACGTGATTTCCACATAGGAATTGAGGTATCAAAAACAGAAACCGTTAGATTCTGCGAAGATACTTAACGAGAAAACAATTAGTTTTCTTGAACTGAAGTATTTATAATGGATATACATTTACGAACTGAAATAATGGATATACGTATCATCATGCATTTTTAATAACTGGGACAACAGCACCTCTTGCTAAACAATAGGCTACACAACATCCAGAATGTCGCTGGCTTTTGTATGTAAATATAACACCGTTCTGCACTTTGAGATCTTTCGATACGCCATCGAATTTTTTGATGCATTTTTTACCCACAAGATTCGTGCATTAATTTGTCATTATTAAAAAAAAAACATTCTAATTGCTGAGTTGCACGTAAATAAATCCATGGGTGCAATGCATAGTAATGCAAATGCAATGTAGGAGAATTATCACAAAATTCAAGTTTTAATGTCTTTGTACTTCAATAATGTGGGTTTTGGCTATTTTGCGTGTTAAAAATATTAAAATCAAAATCAAAAACACATAGTCAATTTGCTTAAAAACGGCATTATTTTCTCTAAAATTTTGAGCTAAAATAATAAAAATAAATTCAATATTTTTGAGCTAAATTAAATAATAATTCACATTAAAAAACCTTTTATCTTATTCTCACGGACTATTTAGATGCAGAAAATATATAAATTTACATTTAAAAATAAATATGTTTGAGACACATTGATTTACCATGACTCAATAGACATAGAGGAAGGACAAATTGAAATTTTCGTGTATATCCTTTACTATTCACCGACGTTCTTCAGGTCAAGATTTTTCTTCAGGAACACAGTTCGTGATCTGGCAAAGGGAAAAAAACGAAAAGTTTGTATTTCAAGTGTATTTGCAACTTGCATTTCATAATAAATAAGCAGATATATCAAAATGATCTATCTACCTAAGATCATCGTTTCATTATGCAGCCATGTTACCGTTTACTTTTATCGGTTACGCTTGAAAAAAAAACGCTTGATTATTTCGTTACGCGCTACAAAATTTTCTCAGTGTGAGAGGCATTTTTTTACAATGATGTGGAAGAATTAAAAAAAAAAAATCTATATAAGACTTCTGTAATGAGGTGGTAAGTCATCATTTATAAATTCATCGCGAAAGCAAAAAAATTATATAACTCAGTACTCAATGCAGTGAGTGAAAGAGAGCGCATTTTCTCGTCGACGAAAACGTGAAGTCACGGACGGACAGACGGACAGACAGACGGACGGACATGACGAGCACAATAGCGCCTTTTTTCCATAAATGAGAACATGCGCTAAAAAGTGTAGCGAAATATTGAATTCAATCCTACCGGAAGGTTTCCTCGCGCAGGCGTTGGTTGAGTAGGAGTAGAGCCAGGGGGCGGGACACTGCATCTTGGCCACCACCCAGACGCCCGTAGCCACGAAGCGACATTCCAAGAACTCGTGACACAACACAACCAAGCCCTGATATGTCGGTAGGAATAACAATAATAAATTGACAAATTTAGAATTTCTCAGCTACGAAATCACTTTAGGTTTCTCATTTGACATTTGAAATAATATGCTCTGAATTGCAGAAATAATTGATCTTCTATACAACACTTTGGTGTCCAAGATATATTCAAACGCACAATATTAAGACATATAGCAGATTAGAATGCTAGGTCTAGCTGTAACGCACCTTGTAGTGTCCCGTTGGGCTGCAGAGATAATATTCTGAACAAAAATAGTCCAGCATCCAGCTCTCCATGGGTCGGGGTTTAGTCTTTGAGCATCTCACCGTTTGGTTCAACGCGAGATGGACGGTTGTAAAGTCCTCATCAGTATCAGGATCACCAGTCACTGCAACAGTGGGTGTTGTGATGGTCGTAGTGGTAGTGCTTGTTGTGGTTTCTGGTGTAGTTGGTTTGTATGGTACCCACCAGGAGTTGGGTGATATAGTTGGCTTCGAAATAGGGACATCGGGAGGTTTGTACGGAGGTCGGGTTGAGCTGCTAGGGAGAACAACTGGTGGTCCAACGGGTGGTTTAGGAGGTGGCCGAGTAGTAGTGCTGATGGTAGGAGGTGGTTGAGGTCGGGAAATTGGTGTCGTAGTGAAGACAGGTGTTGAAGAGGTGAAATACCAACTGCTTATTGTAGGTCTGAATGCTGTTGCAGGCGGTAGAGTTGAAGTTATTACGGATGTAGGACTTTGAGTGGTAGATGATGTCGTGAACCAGTAGTTTGGTTGCGTGGTTGTTGTAGGAATTTTAGGTGTTGTGATTGGCAGGATTGTTGTTTCATCAGGTTCAGGTACCGATATTGCTGGAGGTCCAGCTGTTGTGGAGGAGGTCCGCGGTGGAGCAGGAGGATTGACGTAACTGTAGTCGATTGGATTCTTGCAGAAGTTATTATCTACCATTGGGAAAAAACATTTGCGAAATGAAAAAAAATCAGCATTGCCTTCATGTTGATATCCGTGATGCATTATTTTTTAACGGAGGTGCTTATATGTTTTGTTTTTTGAACGGTGAAGTAGCCAAATGTACTTCGTTTCATCAGCGCTGGAATGCATAATAATTGTAACTGCTGAAATCTATCACAACTACATTTTCCTTTCAAGAAAACCATGGAGTTTGGGTGAAAGCTTTACAAGTACTTTCCTTTAATATGTATTTGTTGACAATTGAAAGCGAAAATATTATGATCCCGTACAGAAAAGTACTTCAATGGCAATAAAGAACAGTAAGCAAAAGACTCTCATGCAGTTAACTAAATCTAAATCGGTCATTCCTTGCTGGTGAAACTCACCACTGATGCAATACCTTTGGTCAGGGCTGTAGGTGCTGCCCGGCAGACACAGATCGAGCTCTCTGCCTCCGGCTTTTGTGCAGCGATAGAAAGCTTGCTCGCAAACCCTGACGATGCTGTGATGTACTTCCCATATTGCTTTCATGCACATCATTCGGTAACTGCAGCTCCCAATCATTATACTGCAGACGTTTTCTTCTCCGTCAGACGCTGGCATGGACTGAGGGACTATCAAGTTTCCGAGGAAATCATCAGATTCAGACGTTGGAAAAGGATGCAAGGAGTTAAGAGGAACAACAGCAGTGTTGTATAAATTGAGGTCAGGTTTAGATGGTGGTGGAATTAGGGTCGGGTAAACAGGTCGTAAAGTTGGAAGAGCTGGCTGTGGGGATTCCGTGTTTTCTTGGCTGTCAATCCCCAAAGAAATAACATTCGTAGCCACGGAATCGTCATGAGAAGAGCAGGAAGCCTCGAGGTCTGACGTTACATACACGAAGCCACATTTGTTCATGTCACTTATGTAGATCATGTTAGGATCGCATTCAAAGTAAAATCTGCGGTAGGATCCAACCCCGTTGCCACCGACGCATCTTCAGAACAAGCAAAGTAAGTTGTTATATTTACTCATTTGAAATGAATCGGTTAAATTAATCAAGAAAAATTTAACACCAGGTTACAGGATTATGTCCAACTTATCGTTAATATTCCATAAATTAGGGTAGCATTTCTATTGCATTCATGGAAGCAACACCATTCAAACTAATTGCATTGCACTGCTGGCCTAAGCAATATTTTATTAAGTGAACGAACACTGTTACACCTCGAAATTTTCGGTCTAACTTTACCTGTAAAACCACCTACAGTCCCGAGGGTGAGCGAAATATCCCTCTCGAGAACACGGCACCAGCGGACTCGCGATGTGATCAGGATACGGCCAATAAAAGTCTGGGTATACGGGAACATGTACGGGTATACGGGAACATATACGGGTATTACGGGAACGTATACGGGTATACGGGAACATATACGGGAGCATAAAATTCCATCAACAAATGCATGATGGTTATAAAACTGCTATAGCATGCCTGTCAAATTTATGATTTGCAATGCAAGAAGAAGTTTAAATGATTTTCCTCATGTGGTCAGGGTAAATTCAGTAGGTTAAGTTTGTTGTACGGGAATATGAGCCACCATGTTACATTTAGCTACACAGATTACTCATTATACTCTTCCTTTGGTGAATATGAGTGCAACGTTATTCGATCAAGACTAAATCTTTTTTTTAGGAGCAAAACTTTTATTCAGAGAGGATTGTCAGTAATAGAACACAGTGATATTTTATGACACTATAATATGCATACAATACGATGTTCAAAATGTTTTCTGTTCAAAATTTACTAATGTAACTTGCTAAAATTTTAACGGGAATTTGAAAGTGCGGATGTCATTTAAATTACGGACCTGCATTGCTGCTGCTCTCGACGGTCGTCATTATCACCAACAATAAAACGCTCCCAATTTCCTGCAAAAGTTTCAATTATATAGTTACATGCTGCTTCTGTGCCTTGCTTGAATTTCTGTAACTAGACATTTATCTCAATTTATTGTTCTTGAAATCAATGCTGCTTGGTTTTATTTAAAGATAGATACTCAAATTTATTTGGAATTATTCAAAAAAGTTCATGTGCCAAGTTCAGTCCGTGATAATTCTCCTTCCTACAGCAATAAATTAGATGCAATCAAATTCCGCATACGTGGCTGGACTTTATAGTCCCGTAATATTTTTACGGTGCAATGTTAGGGTATCCGAATGGGCGATGTTATCTAAACTGGCGTTCCTGGACAGATTCATGGGATGGTCAGGCGTTCGTGGTGACAGAGTTACGATGCGATTAGTACGCCTAAAGACGCAAGGAAACTGACATGGAGATAATTGACACTTCTCATTTCGTTGAAGTATCTTGTATAATTTTTCATTTATGTATTTTTTTTTAAGTTGAAGTATCTATTTTTTAGATAAAACTGGAATTGAAGCAAATTGTGTATGTATATTAGAGTCTATTTTCAATAATTTATCCACTTTTAAATAATTATATAACCAATAATAATCCTGCCAAAAGTTTTACTGACTTTTCTTCATTTGTGACTTAAAACGATTTATAAGTACATAAGTACATAACAAATTTAGCCAATATAGGAAAATACTTAATTGAAGAGCATTCTACCCATATATACTGGAACAAATATTAGCTATTATACAAGTTTGTTCAAATTTCATGCAAATAAACAATACCATATCAAGTTAAATAATTAATCGGCCAAATAGACATCCAGTAAAAACACACAAAAGACAAATATATAACTTTTCATCCAACCTGCTTGAAAGTTTCCAAAATAATAATAAACTCGTTGAATTTTCTTAACTGATAATAGCTGAATTGTATATTGTATTTTTCCTAAATTAATCCGGTTTAACTTTTTTTCAAAATAAGTGATAATGTTGTGCCGCTTCGCTTTGTAAGTTCATATATTCTTGCTCAGCGTCAACCCCTATCCGTTCTTATCTGTGAACAGTCCTTCTTGATTTAAAAAGGCCTCCCCAACTGCATTTTAAATGCAAAGAAATGCATCTTAATGCTCCCCAGTGCTTGACTTTTGCGCATTCTCAGTTTTAATCGTAACCTTATATTCACTCGAACCGTTGCTGCTGCGGCGGCAAGCATGTTTTTTCTAATCAATTGTCCAACAAATCAGTCGAGATATACAGGCAAATACAGCAGGGGGTCTGACACTGCTTTGCAATTAATGATACCGTGCAGGAATACGAGTCATGGAACACTTACCTCACAATGTAAGAGTTGCTTGTAAATATGATTAAATCTATGATGCGGGGTACATGAACTCTAAAATATGATGAACTGTGTCTGAATTTAAACTCGGTAATAGAATTCATGGATGATGAACTGTGTCTGAATGCATGATAATAGCATTCAGTCATATTTGAACAAAGCGTTGTAAAGTATCTAGAGGACATTCGAGCGCTGATGAACGACTACGTGTGTTGGTCCCGATACAAATAAAATCATGACGAAATGCATGTGATATTTTTAAACATATAATGCATGCGTGCATGTGTTAGTTCCGATACAAATAAAATCATGACGAAATGCATGTGATATTTTTAAACATATAATGCAAAAAAAGTACCCTAAGTTTCTCTAAGGAGGAAATTTAGACGTATAATCAGCTATCGTGGGATTTCTTGCCCTTTGAATCACGCTAGGCATGTTCATAGATATTCAGACTTCGCTGTATAAGCGATGCGACATTTTTGAGTGACATTTATAGGGTCATTATATTCTAAACTTGACCACTTCTTATCTCGTCTCTGGTATCATACGAGAATACAAGTGCGCGAGAACCAATTCTTTAGATGAAAAAACGTATACTTTTTTCAGGCAATTGGTACCTCTGATAATTTTTTCTACAGGTTATCTGTCCACAATTTATTCAAACATTTGTTATCACCTCAGTCCGTTCAGTTAGATTGTTCTGTGAGACTGGAATTTTGCGACTGATTTAAAATATAGACAAACGTTGGCATAATAATCTTTGGAATATTGCCTTTTTATATAATTTGTTTTCGTTCGAAGAAACCTTAGAGGCAATGTCCTCAACACGAACGCAATGTCCTCAAGCCTAAGTTTAGGCAGAAGCAATATAAATGTTCTGCCCTGAAATCTATGGTAATTAAAACCCTCTTTTCATAACACTGCCAGTAGCAGCATATCAAATTTGTAAATGATGAACAAATATACTTAAAATTAATCATACGCCTCTTAGACCATATAATCTCAAAATTATATTAGACTTTGCTTCGCAAATTAAAATAGTTCAATTCCCGTAAAAACTAACATTGAGTGGAAATTAACAATAACCAGGTATATTCGACAAATTTTCTATTTCTAACAAATTTTACATGGAAAATAAATACTCAGATTGCAGCATAAATTCAGATACATTGCAAGTTTTCCACGAAGGTAACAACCTCATTTAAATTAAAATTAAAATTTTATTTGAATTTTAAATTTAAACGATCAAAAATTCAAATTGACACTCGTAACTATTCCTAATATAGGACAGCCGTCTCTTGGCAGCGTGACCAGCAACATTTGCATTTAAGTTCTGGCCAGCGAAGAAAGTAATTGGCTTTGGGCGTGGATAATCCAATAACCGAGTTGAGTGCATAGCTCAGTAACTAAGCAAGAGAATTGAGCTTTGAAAAATGTTAGTGGATGCTTTGGTCTCGCTTTTGAACTTATGATATGTTTAATGATAACATTTTTTAACCTATGATATGACGTATGATAACATTTTTGAACCTATGATGTGACATATGATATAATTTTGAACTTATGATATGTCATATAAAATCATCTTAAAACCTATGATATGATGTATGATATAATTGTTGAACCTATCATAATATGATGTATGATATAATTTTTGAACCTATGGTACGACACATGATAGCATTTTGGAACTTATGAGAAAGCCTTGCTAACCCCGTGTAGAAATTTCACATCATATGCTAGTACCTATATCAGAAAATTATTCCAATGAGTTTCCTCCCCTTGACTAAAATGATGAAAGAATCATATGCGTGAATTCAAATTGACGATTTTCTTACATGAAAAAAATGGTTAGTAATTTTTCAACCTGAATACATCAATTGAATGGATTATTTAATAACAAAATCGTTGAGAAAAGGTTTGTTTGAAAACTCAACCACATTATAGGTTGATAATATATTCACGTTTATTAGCATTTTTTTAACCACAGGCTAATATTAATAATTGATTCATAATAATTTTCCTTATAAATACAATGCGATTAAATATTATATACTTACCAGAATCATAGCTGATAATGTTCCTTCAATAATGATTACAAATGTCACGTATTTTATTCAGTTTATTTTAGCAATTTTTGTCTGTTACACATTACTTTCCTAACATGTTACACTTCTGCCATAATGTTATACTTCTGGCTTACAGTACATCGCACCTTGATATATAACACAACTAATTCTCACTTCTTGTTTAGGAACGCACTGCAGCATCCTGGTGCAAGTATCACGCCGTGGTTCAAACTGAAATATCAATCTCTATGTCAATCCGTCTGAAATTCCAATCGTCAATCTTCAATCTCGTCACGCACCTACATTATACCAATGGTGGTATGAGTTAGATATATAATCAGCACTAGCGCTCCTACCTTAGATTGCATTCAGTTCAGCTGCCGATTACATGCATTCTTATTGAATACCTTATAGTTCAACAGGAGTCAACGACCTTATCATCGTGAGTAAAGAATCAGTAAGAGCCGGTGACCTCACAGTCGCGAGGTCAGATTCACCATAAGTCAGCAACCTCACCGTCATGAAGTCATTTTCTCTAAAATATTTTGTTTTAAGTTCAAGCCTCATGGCAGTCACTGATAAGTTTAGAAGTATTTCGGCGCAGCTTCAAGATACGTTTGACTTCACTTGTTAAAATTCTGAACTCCGTCATCACATGAGGTCTAAATTTCAAATAATGACTAGACGACACAAATCTACAACTATTGAGAGTCATTAGTTGGTTCAATAGCTCATACTGGCTTCTGATCATACTGTATTAACCTCCCCACCTAAACGCGTAGCACATTAATTGTATAGTCATGTCAAAAAAATATAGATATGAGCAATATTTATCATCTATGAATGTAGATAAAAATTACGAATATCATCATTTTTTGTTGTCAGTAAATCAATTATTCGTGTCAATCAAAGAGATGAATTTGTAGCCCTATAATTAGATACAAGTTATAATAATAGTTATTATTTATATTATTATTATTATTATTATTAATTATTTCGTTATTCAGCCCAATAATGATTATTAGATACAAAACGGAATATTTCTGAAAAATACACCAATTCTTCGTGTCAATTGAGGTGAACAATGCTTTTGTAGTAGACTACTTATTAGATCAAAACCACGAACACAAATTTTTTTAATCTGTCAAAAATCTGTATCGCAAGGCGATAATCATTAAAAATGTTGCGACTTATTAGTTAGAATCTAGATCAATTAATTTCTATGCCATACCCGTTATTCACTGAGCACTTTTCACATAACAATTAAGTGGATCACAGATGAAGAATTTTCCGGACCTCAGACACTTTCTTACGATATTGATGCCAGTAACAACAATAAACAATATTGATGCCAGTAACAATCCTAAACATTTCTGGAGTTTCTTTCCATCAGCCCCAGGCTTCTCTGCCAAACCGCATGGCCGGAGTTCGCTTCAGTGACTGAGAGGCGAGACCTTGGGCTCTCAGGGGCAAGGAAGTAAGCCTCGGAGCCACTGTTATTGGGGCCACTATAAAGGTATCACATAACATACCTCGATATAAACAACCACATATACAACTAAATTTTGAACTCATACGTACATGTGTTAACAATTAATTCAATGGCCCAATAACACCTTTTTCTGGCTATTTGAATTAATCCATTGCAAAAATTTATGAGTAAGACAGTAAATGTTATATTGGTGAATACCGAGCATCTTCAAAAATACAGTTTCTTGTATTAATTTTCAGAACATGCACGACCATCTTAAGTATTGAATTCTAATACCAAGGAAAATGCGTAATTAAAAAACACGTTTTGTTTCAGTGATTTAGAAAATAAGAACTGCATAATTTAACTGAATACTATAGTTACAAAGAAAAAAGCGAAGCGAAGAAATATCGTGATCCTGCCATGAACTTTTTCGTGATTAAGATGATAAATGAGAATATTAAAAAACTTATTTCAATTATGCGACTCTCAATTCCATATTGTCAATTTCATCTCTAATTAAACTTCCGTAACTGCTTCTACGAGCCCAATATATTTCCTAAATAATTACATCAACGAAATAATTTATAATATTACTCACTGAAGGCAAGTTTTATATCGAGCTTCCTTGATTGTGTGTGCTTTTCGCGTGGCTTTAAAATAAGCTTATACCGAGTACACTGCCATGCATAAGCTTATACCGAGTACACTGCCATGCATAAGCTTATACCGAGTACACTGCCATGCATAAGCTTATACCGAGTGAGACTAAATTGGTGAGACTTTGTTTAAATAATGAATAATTTTTTGCCTTCGCATCCTGACCCAATTTGGCACGTCAAAATGGCGTATTAGTGAAACGTCCACCCTGCTTTTGCTTTGTGTTATGAAGTATGTTACTATTTAGACGACTTACCTACACATTTTTCTCATGGAACTTTTGTGTAGGGTCTGCTTTACAATAATTTTAACTTCGCAGGAAAGACTTTGTAAATAGTTTTGTATCGTAGGGATCAATTTGTTCAAATATGGTTGTTAGATAGCGATGAACTAATGTAAATAAAGCTTGTCATTGGATAGACTACGAGTAAACACGAGTGGAAAATGTCCGAGTAATGATTTTTGGACAGGAAAACCACTATGCTTAATTAAATTGGTACTTCTCGATGAACTTGGGTTGATTTGTTTTTTACTTTCAGACAAACTTATTGTTATTTTTATTTACTTTTTAACTGGATAACAGACTAATTTGAATGAGGCGATAACTGAAAAAAATTTATTCATCCAAATAAATTTGTTATTTTGTGATTGAAGGTTAAATAGGATTCCCGTGTATGACAAGACTTAATGCTCGCCAGGAATTTCCACATTGCTTCCGAATGACTATAATAAATTTGTTCCATATATTCGAGATAAAATTAGTTTCAGAATATGAAAATGATTGCGTAAAGTATAATTGAAAACAACGTTATGAGGATTTTTAATTATTATTATTATTACATTATTAGTATTATGAATTGTTATTATCACACGAAATTTCTTTTGAAATGTTGTAATGACTAAAATTTCCAGATTTTGTAGCGCACACGCATGCCTCGGAGAAACCGTTGCCATAGGATAACCAATAACTCATTACTTATCTTCTCATTACTGATCTTCTCATTACTTATCTTCTCATTACTCATCTTCTCATTACTCATCTTCTCATTACTTATCTTCTCATTACTCATCTTCTCATTACTCATCTTCTCATTACTCATCTTGTCATTACTTATCTTCTCATTACTCATGTTCTCATTACTCATCTTCTCATTATTCATCTTCTCATTACTCATCTTCTCATTACTCATTTTCTCATTACTCATCTTCTCATTACTCATCTTCTCATTACTCATTTTCTCATTACTCATTTTCTCATTACTCATCCTCTCATTTTCTCATTTTCTCATTACTCATCTTCTCATTACTCATTTTCTCATAACTAATCTTCTCATTACTCATCTTCTCATTACTCATTTTCCCATTACTCATCTTCGTCATTTTGCATTGCGTCAATTTTATATAATTTTATTTTTATCTCATCCAGCGTCAGTTTTCGTGCAACTCAGAAGCAAGCGATGCGTGAAGCCTCAACTGGTCTGTAGTTATTTTACCCTGGCCAGCTGTTAACCATCAAGTCTTTAACGAATCTCTTTTTACATTACCCTGGATCCTGGGTAATATTTCTCACCTGCATCAAGTCGTGCTTGTCAGGTACCATAAATAAATAATAACCGTTAGTTTATTATCATGTTTACTCACGTTCAGTAGAAGATTACTTTAGAGCAAAGAAGTCTGATGGAAGATAGTGCCTAGCAGCGAGAACAATTTTTAAAATCGACGTTCGGATATTTTCTTTTCGAATTTTTTTCAGTTATTTTAATCAGTTTTTGCCAGTAATTTTAGTTTTACATTCTCTAGTTCAAACATTCATTTATTATAGTCTATTATATCGCATTATAACATTATATTATGATATTACATTACAACATTCAGAGGTGGACAGTAGCGCACTACATGTAGCGGCCGCTACATTTAAGGCAATGTAGCGGTATCGGTAGCGCCCGCTACATATTTAAGTAGCGATACGAGGTTTTGCCGCTACAGCGCTACCGCTACATTTATAGATAAAGCCTTCAGATTTTACTTAATAGTATTAAATATTATTTTAAAAACAGCATGATACATACATAATATAAATTACAGAATAAAACTGTAGGAAAGATTTCGGTGTAATGTTGTCAACCTCAGCCTGTTACTAGTGTAAACATGTTAGTTGTTACTTGTTAAGTTGTTACCAGTTACCACTTACAGGTATTTTTTCATGTTTCAGTTTGCTTACAGTTAATTTTACACAGTTATTTTTATGCTTCACCTTCCCTACATGGATGTCTACTTTAATCTACCAATCTCAAAAATAACCCACACATATATACAAATGAAAGACTGATTTTTATATGTATATTTGGATAATTTTTTATATTTGTAGATTAAAGTACACATCCATGTAGGGAAGGTAAAACATAAAAATAACTGTAACTTTTATTTACTGTATCTAACCCGTACTAGTTCGGTTAGGTTAATTGCAATAAAGTTGCATTGATATGTTTTGAAAATGTTTTATTATCATTAAATGTTTATGAGTAAATCCCAACAGCAGAACAATAAATATTTAGAATTTCAATAATTTTGGCCATTGTAGCGGCTAATGTAGCGCGCTACATTTTACTGTGGCGCTAGCGGGAGCGCTCGCTACAATCTAGTGGGTGTAGCGGTAGCGGTAGCGCCGCTTCATTTCAAAGTAGCGCTGCCCAGCTCTAACAACATTAAATTATAATACTACATTACAACATTACATAATTACATTACATTATAGCATAGCATTATAACATTACAGGTAATTGGAAATTAATAATGCATACTAGAAGGCCGAATTATTTTCTATCTACAATCAATATATTTTTGAAGTTTTTAAACAGAAAATAAACATTCCAATTTCTATACAATCAGAGACTGTAGGAAAAGCTATCTAACATGATCAGCTGTGTTATAATTACTAATAGAATGGCATGATCGCCTTCCTCAATGTTATTCCTCAATCGTATAAGATAGGTCAAGAGGGTCATAGAAATATTATTTACGGGTGTCTATAATCCAGCCGCCGTATGTCGGCTAAGAACCATGTCCACATTCCTGGGGCTGAGCCCTACATGAACTCTGTCTCTACACACATAAAATGTATGGGTCACATTGTCCTTATAGTGGCCCACTTTCTAAGCAAAGAGTGGACAGTGCACTGATACGCTCTTGAGATACGTTAAACTGGGCCAGGATGACCCACATGAGGGCAAAAGTGAATAGCTATTCTGAAAGTTACTCTCATATCTCTGTGCGTATATATACCTCCATGTTCCTGTTATATGCAAGTCAAGGCGGTAAATCCCCACAGTCCGTCAAATAATCATAATGAGGGGATTAATAATAATAATAATAATAATAATAATAATAATAATAATAATAATGAGGATTTTAGGCGGGGAATGACAACCGATGTTTCGTGCACATCTAAAGAACATATTATATATTATATGCACTAAATAGTAATAAGTATATGAAAAAGTTGCACAGGTTAACATTTGTAATCGACACCAGCGATTTTATAGAAACTTTTCATCTCACTGAAATATGTGCACTTCGAACAAAGTTTCCGTTTCGCA